TTAACATTTGTTTCCTGTCACCATTCCATTAATTTATGCCGCTCCCACCCACATCTACTAATAGTTCACAGGCCCTACTTTTTAGCAGTTTTGTTGGACGTAAGCCCAGACCCAAACCAGGCAGTGTGAAGTCACAGAAAGAAGCTCTTCTTTTTTAAAGGAACTCCCAGGGTGAGTGGGAACTGATTTAGTACGGTTCTAGATAGTCATATTTCCTTACAACAGTCTCTTCACGATTCTTCTACAAACCTGTGTTTTTCAACGCATGGATGCCTACTCAATTTTAAAGGCCTCAGACATTGATGAGAGTTGACTGTGTACATAGCGTAATGCCCTCTTGGGGAACTGGATTCTTCCTCCATGATTTCTAGCTACTAAATCTGAAAGAATTCCCCGGACTCAGTGTTATGAAGAAAATCATAAAGGGTTTGCTAAATTGGTTTGCTTGACAAGCAGAACTTCTTCTCCAGAAAGACATAAGAGGTTGCAGTCTTGTGTGATTCGGTTAACGGTACGAGAACCTTATCTCACAAAGCTGGCGCCACAGAGAAAAAGCCCTCTAGTGACCTGACAGAACTTGAGCCTTTGCTTCTGACCCATTAAACAAAATCATCTGTACAGCATGTCCGTATCTGTCCCTTTGCTTTTTGTCTCTGTGTGTGTGTGTGTGTTTGTATGTGTGTGTGTGTGTGTGTGTGTGTGTCTTCTTTCATCCTCACAGCGTGGATGCTCTTTGATTTCACCTGGTTTTATATCCTGACTTCCCTCTTTGATCACACGCTGGAGTAACCACTTTGACGCTTCATCATTCCGACAATGGTGAAGCTAACACATTCTCCATCTCGGAGGCAGGACCCCAACAGCGACATCCACCTGCAGACACCTCGGACACAGAAAGCTCATCCGTGATTCTCCCTTTCTCTTTACAAAAGGTTCTAGAAGCATTGGGGTTTGCATATTTGGTATTCACTTCAAGACTTAGAAATTAGCATCTAAGGAGATAAATTAGTGTCTCAACTCTTTAAACTCAATCCTATTTCTTCTGCTTTAAATTCCACCTGCTAATTTATTTCCCTCTGCTTTTATACCAGTGTAAATCCTGTTTCTTTTGAATGCCTACTTATATTTGTGTCATCCCACAGAGAATAAAATCGAACCTAAAATACCTAGTGGCAAAGCCCCGCTTAGCTCGCTACCTTTTCCCATTTTGCTGTTCTCCTAGGTTTCAAAGTCTATCCCCTTTGTAGATTTCTTCCTACGAGACACTCCCAACTCAAGTAAAATCCTATGTCCTTCATTGAAATATCAAAACTCACTATGAAAATAAAATATGTGTCAAATGAAACCCAGTTCTTGAATGGATGTTTTACTTTCTTTTTACCTCCTGCCATGTACAGAGTCCTTCATTCCTGGGTGTCTGGTTAGTTGAAATATACACCATCGAACTCAGAAGGTTATTCTCACCTCCCCAGTAGGAGAGTTGATTTGTAAAATGTAGAATCAGCATAATGTGAACTCCGGGAGAGGGACACTCAAGTCCCAGCACATTCCGTGGCCTTGAGAAAGTGCCACGTGCTTTCACTCAGATGGTGACTGACACGGGCGGAGGAGACACGGCTGAGGAAAACACAGAAGGAATTGCAATGGCCACCTGTGACTATAAAAGAGCATTCACCCACCCCCAAGAAATGGATGAAAACCTGAATCCTTGCAGTGTGAGAGCCAGTGTTTTTATGACAAGACTCTGCTCTCCCTCATCCCCATCCCTCCTCCTTCTCTCCAGCCACCAGCACAGCCTCACTGGTAAGGCAGATGCCTCCAAGACTCCTTCTTGCCTCACGTCCACAGAAGTCACTTCATCAAACAAGAGCTCTGTTCTCCATCTTGCCTAACTTTTTTCCAGCCTTCTAGATTTTCTTCTGAGAACCTTTCCTCAGGTGCTCCCCTGAGCTCTGCAGTTCCCGTTTCTGGGGACACAGCAGACCAGAGCATAATTCCATCATATCACTTTTTGCCTTGTATCTGTATCTTTTCTCTGCAATGAGATTTTTCTCCAATGAATTTCTTGAGATCCAAGATAGCGTTTTATTTGCTATTGGCTCACCCGCGTTAGCATAATGCCTTTGTTGGCAATAGTAAGAGCTTAGTAATTGTTGTGAAAGACCCCTTCAAGAGGCTGCCTATTGGATTAGCACTGTTGTTCCCATCTGCTTTGTCTGCAGAAACAAGAGCCCAGCTTCATGCCTCCTGTAAGTGGGTGATCAATGCCATATTGAGATGTGGTGAGCACTGTTTGGGCATCAGCAATAACATCGGGGATGAGGGTAAACAAACAATTCAGGGACAGTGATGAGGGAGTGATGGAGAGGAGAGGACCATGGTCACTTTAAAAAAAAAATCTCTCATCCTTTATTGGATAAGATGACCCTTCCTTCAATGCAATATTTACTCAGCCATATTCCAGCTCTCAGAGGGAAATGGTTTTGTTTATAGATTTAGAATTATAATGACAGGACATTGCAGTTTGAGAACATAGGTAGGCGGTAAGGCGGACGGCAGACTAGGAAAAGCACAACCCTGGAGGAGGGAGAGGTGACAGGGACAAGGCCGTCTGGATGCTACGAAAATATCAATGACCACACACCTGCCCACAGCTAAGAGTGACCCCACACTTAGTCATACACCAGGTCTAGAACTAAGCAGTCATAGATATTAACTCTGTTGATCTTCACATAACCTTGCAAAGTTTTGAAGCCCCGGGAGGTCAAGTCATTCACCTCAAAGCTGCACAAAAGAGTGAAGGGTGAGGCTTGCACCTGGTCAGGCTAACTGGTGATTTTGGACGGGACACTGAGGCAGAGGAAGGTGCAGACAGAATCAGAAGAGCCCCCTCCGATGAGCGTGACAGGTGGGGCATACATTTTTGGTGCATGAGAAGTGAAGGTTTTGCTTTGGGAAGGAAAGGCAGTGATTAGCTGCATGTGCATGGGATTTTTCTCTTAGTTACATTAAATAATGAAGACTAAATTTAGTTTATGTGTGGTCACCCCCCACACTACACTTCCTTTATGGCCATCACAGAACTGAACAGCTAGAAGTTGAGTCTACCTCCCGCCATTCACGTCTCTGCTCCGACTATGCCGAGCGCCTAACTCTGTGCAATGCTCAGCTTAGGGAAGCGCGTCCCCAAGCTCCATGGGCGACGTGGCAGGATATGAAGTGTGGCGTTTTGAATCAAAAGACTTGGAGTCTTACATGTTGGCTGACTTGGGATAATTCAAATAACCTCTTTGATTCTCTGATGCCTCTTCAGTTAAATGAGAAGCTCAGCTTCCGTGCTGTCGTGGGACTCCTGATGAATAGCAAATGGAACATTATGTTGGCGAGCATTTTTGAAATTTCGGGGCGATGATGTAAAGTGTTAGACTAGGGTTTATTACAGTTGCGTTCATTCATTGATCGCTCGGCAGATCAGATCCTTCAGGTACTCAGCAGTGCACAGCTCTGGGCTGGATGCTGGGGAATCCACGGCAAATGAGCAAACAAGACCTCCACTCCGGAGAAAACAGCGATTCCCGGAGAGTGGTAAAGGGAGAAAGGCGATGAGCAGAAATGAAAACAATCACGCCGAATTCTGATAAGTGCTATGAAAAATCAAAAATGCAGGGAGATTGCTGATTGTTTTTGCTGTGTGTGTTCCAAGCGCCAGCCCTGATGATTGTGGAACTGTCTAAGGAGTGGGGCCTCTTCTGCACCTGCTCCCAGGGGGCTGGTCTGCACTGCTGAGGGCCAGCGACACGCCTGACACCAGTGGTAAACACTGGACATGGGCTCAGTGTGTGTCGATGACTGATAACCTCACGTCTTCTTTCTAAAAAATATTCATTCACTTTGGCGCTAAAGGCAGCTGAAGGATTCAGTGAGTTTCACATCTTGACCTGGGTGGAGGTGACTTAGTGTTGTTCTGTGAGGCATGCACTCTGAGAAGGCTGGTCTGCGATTTACTCTCAGCTCACACCAATGGCAGGCCAAGGGATTCAGGCTCTGCATACACATTTTTATCACCCAATGGGGGTGGCAAAACAATAGGATAGTTGATAATGTGACAATAACTGATGCAACAAGGACTCAGAATGTTCCCGACCTTCAGTATATGTGGCTGGGTATTAAGAACCTCCACGTGTCACCTGAAGTTCCTTCCATTACAACCCACAGCTGCGGGCTCACGGCTGCTCTGGGCTTAGGTGATGTTTTCCAGTGGACCAGGTAGGGATCAGGCTGACATTCTTTCCTGGGTACCAGGGGGGATGGCAGCACCTCAGCAGCCATCTATTTCATGGGAATGCTGGCTTCTGTCTTCATGTAAATCATGTCCCGTGAGTAGCAGAAATGTCTGCCCCACCAGGAGGCCAGCACAGAGGCCCCCTGCGGGCCTTTGCCGCTGCCATCAAGGTTAATGACCACAGCGGTTCCCATTTGTGCAGCTCTACCACAGCCAGGCCTTGGGCTGAGGAGGTCACGCGTAACCCTTAATTCTCATAACAAACCTGTGAAATACTATCATTCTGGTGAACGATTATGACCCATTTGAAGGCTGCGGCGAAGCACTGACAGACTTGTTCAGTGTCACACAGAGAGTTCCGTCCACCCTCCTTAAAATCCGGGTGTTTTCCTCTGGAAGGCAATGCACAGGTGCGATCCTGCTCCTCCAGGATGACCCACCAAGCCTCTGCCCCAGGCAGAGCACTCTGGAACTGACAATGTGGGAGGCTCACCTCGTAGGCAGCATCCTAGCAGACCCAGCCCTTGCCTAGGAGTGCGGCTCGCTGACGCCCTTTACTTATTGCAGGTTGGGAACAGGAGGATTTTCTTTCCAAAGAAAACTGAGCTCATTAGAGGGGGTGTGGGGCTCCCCCCCACAACCGGTTACCATGGCTCCCGGACCGGGTCACAAATGAGGTGCCCTTGGGTCCAGTGCCCATGCAGAGTAAGCTGTTAAAGCCTCATCGGCCCTCAGTCACTGGCTTTAGAGTGGCTTTTGCTTTCCACGAGGAAGTATGCAGTTCCTTAGGGTGAATGTCAAATGTTCCTAAATAGAGACGCCGCTGAAATCTCCACGAGCGATGCTTATTTATAGGAATCATTTATCCAAGAGTCTACTGCTTCCCAGCTCGAGGATTTATCCCCGGCATCGCTCAGACTCAGCCCCCATAGAGCCACACGCCCTTTCTATTTATACGCCTGGAATCCAGCTCTACAATTGTCTCCAAGTCCCTAATTAGTGGGTACAGCAGTTCACCCTGATGGCGGCACGCGTTTCTCTGTGACACCAGTTGTGCCCACCGGAAACCTATCGCCACAGCAGCCTCGCCTCACTCGGTTTCTCTGTACATCAGTGAAGAGCCACCTATGACGCTAGCCCGACCTCTCCAACACAGCCCTCCCCTACATGGCACACCGTCCACACCCCTCTTCACCTCTGTCTTCCCCAGACCCTTCTACCGATGTCCACAGACGCGCACGCCCAGCACAGCCCTACCTGTTACCTCAGGGTTGTGGCCAAAAGAGTGGAAAGAACAATTGCTTGGATGAGACAGGTGAGTTCATGCAGGTACCCCCATTTCCATGCTGCGCACTTTGGGGTCATTTCCTACCCACTTAAGCCCCCTCATGTGCATGTGGAGGGCCTGGTTAGTAAACCTCATGCTGGCATACTTTGTTTTTTGAGGATGTGATGTAAGTTTTGTGCATGGCCTGGAGGTACTGGGTCTGTGTGCAAAGACTTAGAAGAACAACACTTGCTAACCACTCACTCTCTGCAGGACTATGAAAACATATTTTTGAGCATGATTCCATTTATTTGATCATTCTGGAAAGGGCAGAACCATTGGGATAAAAACAGATCAGCGATTCCCAGGGACCAGAGGCTGCAGGAGAAGTTAACAGCAGAGGGCGTGAGGGGGCTTGAGGGGGAGTCTGCTGTTCAGGGTCTTTATTTCCCCATGTCCCCCTATCCGCAACACCCTGCTTTCTAGTAATCAATCTGTTCTCTGCATCTGAAAGTTTGCTTTATGTTTTGTTTTGTTTGTTCATTTGCTTGTTTCTTTATATTCAGCATTGCTTCTGCCATTTAATTTTTAATCCTCCTGGAATCGTGTATGATGTGAAGTAAGGCTATAATTGAATTTTTCCTATAATAACCATATTTAACTCTAAACCATAAATATGACATCTGTTTTATTCAGAATGCTTTTCTTTTCCCATGACCTACCATGCAGCTATATCTTATATCTGTGCCCACGAGTGGAATGTCTGGGTCATGTATATTTCCCATTTTAGTTTATTTTTTGGTGCAAGAAATCAAATTTAGAAAATGTTTGTATTTTTAAGGTAAATCCAGATTGCTATCCACAATGGCCGGGCCAGTTCACCTTTCCATGGGCAGCGCAAAAGGGTCACTTTCCTCCACATCTTCTCTTGGTGTTGGGGTCTTTTTCATTTGTGCCAGTATCACAGGTGTGGAGCTGGTATCTCACTATGGTTCTAATATGCATTTCCCTTATTAGAAATGACAAAGAAGGGCCTCCCCTGGTGGTGCAGTGGTTGAGTGCTGGGCTGCAAAGCTGCCCGCAGCCTCTGCAGTGCCGGTTTGATCCCCAGGGCGAGAGTCCCACATGGCACGCAGACCTCTCCTGCTGCGCCCGCTGCTCCCCTCAGCAGTGTATTTCATCGGTCTGCCTGTTCTGTTCCCCGCTCTGGCTCTGGTGAATCTTCTCACCCTCCCACGCTTCTGACTGTACCCAGTACTTATATAAATAATAAATAAATAAATCTTTAAAAAAAAAAAAAAGAAATGACAACGAACCCTTTTCATATGTCTTTGGGCCTTCTGGAGATCCTCTTTGGTGAATTGTTCATATCTGCTGCCCACTTATTAATGGGTTATTTTATTAATATTATTGAATTGCATGAGTTTTTAAAAATATATTTTGGATATTAATCACTCATCAGTTATATGTTTGAATATCTTCTCACATCCAGGAGGGTGTCCATTTTTCAACTTGCTCAATCCCCAAATAATTCTAAGAGGCAGGTGCTGTTGCTATTCCACTTTCATTAAATGAGAAAGCTGAATGCCTTAGAGGATGGCAATTCACACAAAAACACACAAGTAAGACAGAGAAGAAGCAAGATTCCAACCCTCATTTTTCCTGAAGCTAAAAGCAGGAATCCAGCTGGCCAGTAATGCAGAGTCCAAATAAGAGAATGTGTTGGCCTGGGCCGGTCCGCAGGAGTACACCCAAGAGGCATTTGGATATAAGATGCACAGGAATTGGTGACAGACACAATGGGCACCTGAGGGAAGTTTCCGGCATGGGGCTGGATTTCTAGATTTTTGTGGAGATGCCTCATGCAGAGACACACTTAGTGACGACCAGGTGGGTGTGGAGGGGAGCATGAGGAGCCTGGGTGCAAACCCTGGCTCCTTCCCTCTCTAGTCATGAGAATTTCTGCCATTAGCTTCTCTTCACAGGGTTCAACTTCCCCATTTGCAACGAGAGGACAGAAATGCCTTATCCATTGAGTTGTCAGAACAAGACCAGACAGAATCCACGCAGTGTGCAGTGCAGCTGCCTCTGAGCTCGCAGCACACAGACAAGAGTGGCCTCTGCATTACTAACTTCAGGATCTCAAGCCAGGCAATTGCCTTCTTTTCTCATCTGTGAAATATAAAGGATACCAGTGGTTACCCTGCACTTTGCTGTGAAGGACAATGTGTAAACACCGTCTGTCGGAGAGTACATGGTGTGCTCAATACACATTATTTATTAATATCAAAGCCCCAGGAATGCACTGTTCCTGTTTGGCTGAAAATCTAGGGGATAATTGCTTGCAGGCGCAACTCAACCATGCACAAAAATGACTGTCGTGCCTGCTTTTGTTAGTGTCTATCTTGGCTCGAGCTGAGACCTCTACCTTCCAGTCCATAAAGTGGAGATCAAGTCTGCTCTGCTTTCTCTCCCAACAGTCATGGAGAAGGTCATGGGAGGGGCAACCCTGGGCTCCCGGGAAGTCTCTGCTGTGAGGGGCACGAGAGATCACGGCTTTCAACATAGAAAGGGCAGTTCCTTCCCAAAACCCAATGGTAGTGTCTCAGCCTTCGGAGAGCCAGGGTGGAAAAGCCAAGAGACAATGAAAGAGAGGAAGAGAAGGAAGTGGACAGACACAGCCTGGCGCTAACTGGGGAAGACAGCACCCACCTGCGTCCACCCCCTGCAGCAAGGTCAAGTCAGGACCCCTCGATGTTGACGAGGGACTGGTCAACTGGAAGTTCCAAGGAGGCCTTTCCTCTGGAGGCTGATCCTACATAATGTCCTTACCGATCTTGGGCTCCTGGGTTCTGGAACCTGCCATCAGGCGTGAGTTATATTCCCAATAAGTCATTCTAGCTAATCAGGCACTCTCATCCCTCGCTACTGTAGGAGACAGAGGCTGCTAGATGCTGCTCCTGAGCAGGGGTCCCAGAGGCAGGGAGAATGCTTCACAAGAGCCTCCTGCCCCAGTGGGATGGCACCCCCCCCCCTGCTTTGTACAGAGAGGAACACAGCCTGCACCAGCACAGGAAGATGACGGGATCTGTGTTTGATAAGGTTATGATTAAATCAAGGTTTTTGCTCTAATTACACTGCATTTAAATAAAAGCAGCCTAGTAAGTAATTGTAATTGATGTGCAATTAAACATGTATTTATATCACCATTGCCTTTCCCCGTGCAGCTGTCTGTTCCTGCTTCACATTGTGGCTGGAGAGACTGAAATCCGCCTGGTACTCGGGTGGGAGACGCCCTCTCCTCTCAGGTGGGTGCTGGGCCCTGGCGTTTCAGCCGGAGCTTAGGGCGCTCTTAGAAAGGCCACACCTCAGAGCCTGAGCGATATATGTGGGTCCTACTCAAGGATCCACAGCTAAGAATACCAACTCCCATTCCTCTGCCCCTCGAAGTTTCGGTCATCTCTGTGTGTAGAGGGGCTACAAGGCACGAGTGTGGTTTAGGGGGGCTGCAGATCATCGCTGCTATGTGAAATACCATGGGGGCCTTCAAAAAGCAGCCATGAAGACCTCTGAGACGCAAGGTGGAAAATGCATGACCTTCTAGAAGTGTTTGGCCATCTGGAAGACAAGACCCAAATAGTGGGGTTGAGAAAGAGGGGGGGACGGGCAGGAGTGAAGGGCCGTTGATATTTCAGGGAGCATGGAGCGGGAACAAGTCAGAGGCTGAAGAAAACACATGCTTGGCATGTTCATCACATGCTAGGTGAGGATGGACAACCAGCGCGGGCAGAGGATTAAAACTATGGAGACCAAAGAAGGTGCACAAATGCTGAAGGTTCAGTGTTGACCATTTAAGTGGGGCCTGGAGGAACCCGGGACCTCATGGCCTCTCTCTCCTCACCTGTCAGAGAGCTGAGCAGGGGCCAGAGTCCACCTTGCTTGGTTTCGCTCTCCTGCTCAAAGGACACCAGGCCTCTTCCTGAGAGCTAACCATTGCCAGAGCCTCTGCGGGGAAGGTTAGGCCCCCTGAGGGAGTCCTGAGCAGTGCCGGTGCTCAGAGGGAGGCACACGGTCCCCACTGCGGGCAGCTGGTGCTGGTTAGACTCCCAGAGGGCACGGGAGTTGAGTCTCAATGGGGTGAGAGCGTGGGTGGAGGAGGCACACGGGGGCGTGGAGGCTGGCAGCACATAGTCTGGATTCACGTTCAGATGGAAGGAGTTTGCAAGGTGCCAAGTGGTTCCCAGCATATTAAAAACAACAACAAAAAAGCTTTAGCACTGTCCACTCACCCAGCTCTTCTTACTCACCAAGCCCTTCCCTCTACAACATTGTATTTGATCCTAATCTATGGCAGGCATAATTACTTCTAAATGACTACTTCAAAGAAAACTGAGACCCAGACCTTCCTGGTGGCGCTGGGGTTAAGTCTCAGCACTGTGAAGCTATCGGCAGCCACTGCAGCACGGGTTTGATCCCAGCCAGGGAGCTGATCCACGGGGCACAGCAGACCTCTCCTGTCTCCCCGCTGCTCCCCTCAGCAGGGTATTTCAGTCAGCCTGCCTGTTCTGCTCCCCACTCTGTCTCTGGTGAATCCTCTCACCCCCTACACCTCTACCTCTCACCTCTGGCCTGTACCCCAGGTCTGTGTGCATAAATAAATAAATCTTAAAAAAAAAACAAACAAACAACAAAACTGAGACCCAGAGAAGTTAAGGAATTGTTCAAGGTCAGAGGACCACGTGCAGGCCAGAGCTGGGGGTAAACCCAGGTTTTCAGCCTCCTGGTGCAAGGTGCTTTAAAAGTCAGTCAAATAAATGGGCACGAGGGATCTGTGAAGGGCCAGGAAGATGCTTTAAAATGGGATGTGGTGATGGTTGCATAGCTCTGTAAATTTTCTAGAAATCACTGTACACTTAAAATAGATGAGCTTCGTGGTGTGTAAACTAGGTTTCAGTCAGTTCTGAAATAAAGGCAGCCAAGTCCCTTGGGCAGAGATGGTTTCATGTTGTCACACCAGCCCCTTCCAGCTCGCCTGCCCGGGCAACCTTGGGCAAGGCCTTTAATTGACATTTCTTTAAACATCAATTTCTTCATCCCTACAGTTGACCTAATATTACCTACTTCTCAAGACTGCTAGAGGAATCTGGCACTAAAGCAATAACAGCTAATTTTATTTCCGTTATTTCTGATGCCCTGGAATTGTGATATAAAAAATAAAGCAATTAACTGTCTGCTGATGCTTATTCATGTCAAGGCTGAGGCTTGTATGAGCATCAGGCATATGCCATGAAACTGCTAAGCGAGCACTCAGGTCTCCCGGCCAGAACTCTTGGCTGAAGCAACAAATCTTTTGTTATTTTCAAAACCATAGCAATATTGAAAAGAGAAGCTCCTTTTATGACCTCCCCTTGAAGTCCATCATGCACAGGGGGCCCGTCACCCCGCTCCTGAGGCAGGACTGGTCTTGCTTTCCTGGGAGGAGGATTTGGCCTCCAAGGCTAACAGGGCATCTTGAGGTTGGGCTGGGAAGAAGCGGTACCATTTCTGTCACTTCCAGAACCTGGGATGACGCTCACCAGAGCTGCTACTTTTTCTGTTCCTGACATGATTCCATTTTCATCTGTCATAAGGTCTAGCAAGATTTCAGCAACACTATTCTCAAGTGACTTGCGATTCTGATTCTTTCCTGATGGGCTTCACAAAATTGGCCAAGTCAAACAAACAAAATCATTGGGAAGTCCCTCGTTATTTTCACAGCCCCTGTTCCACCTACCTAAGGACCTCAGGCTCGGTGTCTGCCAGCGGTTCTGAGGCCCCAGCCCCGTCCTGACCTGTGTGTGAACGTGCAGGGGAAGGCCTGTGCTGTGCAGGGAGCTCTGGGTGTGCGTGGAGGCCTCGCCGGCTCAGCAGCCAGGGGGCCTTCTTCTTGGGGATTTAAGGATTTGCCATTTTTGAGGAAAAGCAGAGAAATTTACAAAAAAACTGGAACTAGGCAACAGTAAAACGTATTCTAAATTGGACTCATTTAAATCTGTATGCTGGTAATCTTAACCTCCTTCAGAACTGGCAATAGGAAAGCAAGGGACGCCCGGATTGGCTTCCAGTGAGCAAGATCCCTGCACTGGAAATGAGCAGCACTGCAGAGCAGCAAGTGCACAGCTCTGGGCCACAACGTACCCCTCAGACTCCACTGGAGCCACTTCCGAGCTTTGTGATATCAGGACGGTTGTGAAGATCCCAGCGTGGCCCTGGGCTGACAGCCAGCAAGAAAGTGGAGGCTTTCCCCCCACAGCCACAATGTCATGAAATCTGCTAGACTTGAGGGAGCGTGGATGTGCCTGATTCCTCAGTCCAGCCTCTAATGAAGCTACAGTTTGCCCACTGGATTGCAGCATAGTGATATTCAGGAGCAGAGAAATCAGCTAAGTCGTGCTGACCTACTGAGGCACAGAAACGGTGAGGTGATAAACAAGTGTTATTTTAAGTCACTAAGCTTGTAGTAATTTGGAATACACAGCATAGGAAACTCCCCACTGTATCACTGAGACCATGCCATTTAAGCAAATATTGCTTGGTTCAGGGATCAAGTCTTCTGCACAAGGAACAGGAATGGATCATTTCACCTTGTGGTATCGGCAAAAATGTCTGCTAATTGTGGATGCTCAACAAAGCCAGAGATATACACAGACTAGAGCCACACAATAAGTTACGGGAAAAGCATGTTATCTAATATGACCTCATTAATCATTGTTGACTGTTTAAAAATCATTGCAAAACAAATTGTCAACATAAATAAATTGTTTTGCCTGTCAAAAATATAAATAAAATAAAATGAAAACTGCATTAGCGCACAATAGCAGAATTGAGATGTCTGAAGAAGGAATAAGAACCTTTAAAGATGTATCAGTTGAAGTTACCCAATTTAAAGAAAAAAGACAAAAGGCAATGACAGTAAGGAGCAAAATTTAGAGGGCACCAATGTACACATCATAGGGGTTCCAGAAGGAGAGAGGGAAAAAGGTTAAAAAAATTATATGAACTAATATTGGATTAATGCTTCCCATTTTTGAAGAAAAATGTAATCTACACATCAAGAATCTCAACAAATTCAAGTTGGATAAAAATGAAGAGATCCTGGGCCTCCCTGGTGGTGCAAGAGGTTAAGATGCAACCTATGAAGCTATCTGCAGCTACTGCAGCATAAGCTCGATTCCCCGGCTGGCTAGGGAGCTACCCACATGGTGCAGCAGACCTCTCCTGACTCACCCGCTGCTCCCCTCAGCAGTGTACTTTGGTCAGTCAGCCTGTTCTGTTCCCCACCCTATCTCTGGTGAGTCCTCTCACGCCCCTCATCTCTGGCATACCCCTGTTCTTGTACGCATAAACAAATCTTTTAAAAAAAATGAAGACATCCCACATAGTAATGTTGTATCCAAGCTGCCCAGAGCCAAATACAGGGAGAATATCTTTCTGTAAAGAGAAACTGAAAATAAAACCAATGGTGACTTCTCATCAGAAACACTGTAACTCAGAACCCAAAAGAATGACATTCTTAGAGCAATGAGTAGTAAAAGAAACTACCAACGATAATCCTGTATCCTGCAAAACTGTCCTTTGGAAATGAAGACAAAATGAAGACTTGTCAGGCAAAGCCTGAGAGTGTTTTCTAGCTCCTATGCCATACAAGGAATACTAAAAGAATCACTTAAATTGGAATGAAATGACACCAGATGGTAAATAGCTCAAGTCCACATGAAGAAATAAAGAGGACAAGAAAAACTAAATACATGTGAAAATATTTTAAAAATTTATACACACAGATATATTTCATTTTCCTCCCTTAATTTTTTTTAAAAAATTAAGAACACTGAATGAAATAGCTAAGGTACTCTATGTTTGGTCTTATAACATATAGGTGTAATATGTGTGTCAATAACAGCACAAGGAATGGGGAAAAGGAACTATTTGGGGGGAATTTTTAATATTTTATCAGTATTAATTTAGTACCAACCTCAACTATGTTGTGCTATATTAAATACATATTGTAGTTCTTAGAACAGCCACTAGAAAATAACATTAATAAGAAAACCAAAAGAGGAATTAAAATGATACAATTGAAAAATATATAAAAAATATAGGAACAATGAAAGAAAAAAACAACAAAAAGGTAAGAATCTTTAGAATACAGAGAGCAAAACAGAAGATGTAATTCCAAGCTCCTAACAATTCCATTAAATGTGAGTAAACTAGGTTAGGCACTCACATCAAATGGCAGAAATTGTCAGCCTGGATTTACAAACCCCACTAC